GAGACTAAACTCTACTTTCTTGAAGAATGTCTTAGTCCATTCAAGCTTCTATAACAAAATATAATAGAATGGGTGGCTTATAAACAACAGAAACTTAGTTGTCACAGTTCTGGAGACTGGGAAGTCTAAGATCAAAAAATGGATGATTAAGTGTCTAGTGAGAGCTCACTTCCTGGTTCATAGATGGCTGTTTTCTTTTTATGTCCTCAGAGACAAGTATATAACTTGAGGTAAGTATATAACAAGCCACCTTTGAAAATTGTGAAGCACAGAGATCTCTCTGGAATCTCTTTTATAAGGGTATCATCCAATCCATGAGAGCGCCATCTAATTTCCTTCCAGAGGCCCCACCTCTGAATACCATCACATCGGTGGCTAAGATTTTAACCTATGGCTTTTCAGGGGACACATTTAGTCCCCAACAAGGGGAGAACATCTCTATATATTATTTGCAATTTTTCCTCATTTGTCTCTTCTCTCCCACATAGTAATTCAATCATTTATTTATATCCATATGAAGTCATGGATATTTATTTTATACTAGAGGCCCGGTGCACAAAATCGTGCACTCACGGAGGTCCCTCAGCCCAGCCTGTACCCTCTCACAGTCCAGGAGCCTTTGGGAGATGTTTGACTGCCAGCTTAGGCCTGTTCCCCATCAGTTGGATATCTGGCTTAGGCCCTAAGCCAGTGATGGCGAACTTATGACACACGTGTCAGAGGTGACATGTGAACTCATTTTTTTTTGGTTGATTTTTCTTTGTTAAATGGCATTTAAATATATAAAACAAATATCAAAAATATAAGTCTTTGTTTTACTATGGTTGCAAATATCAAAAAATTTCTATATGTGACATGGCACCAGAGTTAAGTTAGGGTTTTTCAAAATGCTGACACGCTGAGCTCAAAAGGTTTGCCATCACCGCCCTAAGCCATCAGTCGGACATCTTTAGTGCTGCTGTGGAGGTGGGAGAGGCTCCCGCCATCGCTGCTGCGCTCACCAGCTGTGAGCCCAGCTTCTGGCTAAGCGGCACTCACCCTGTGAGAGTGCACTGACCACAGGGGGCAGCTCCTACATTGAGCATCTGCCCCCTGGTGGTCCATGTGTATCATAGCGACCGGTCGTTCTGCAGTTCAGTCGATTTGCATATTATCCTTTTATTATATAGGATTATATAGGATTTGTGTTATAATCCAAATTCTATGTCATTTATTTTTGCCACTCAAATGGTCCCAGCTTTGGCTATTGGAAGGTTAGTTTTTTTTTTTTCCTTTGACATGCCCCATTTTTTTTAAACTACTGAACACTTTTTTTACTGAGCACTTTATTTGCTGGTACTATAAGTTGCTCCAGGCTCCTCCTTTACACCCCCTGTGCCAGACCAGAGTCAGCCCCAGTTTTTGTTTCTTTGTTTTGAGACTGGTGTTAGAAACCAAGATCTAGGTGCTGGGTGTAAGAGCAGTAATGTTTGTATAGTGGGAATATGTTAGCTTGAGGAAAAGGAGGGGATGATCTGCTAAATGGGAAAAGAGGAGAAAAGAACCAAGAGACCAGAATAGACGATAATCTCAGGTTAAATGATGTGTTGAAGATGGCGTTAACCATGGTGCCTATGAGGTTACCCATGTGAAGATCTGTATGTGAATTTGCATGGCGTTTTAAATGGAGAATGAAGCCCTGAGGTAAGCATATATAACAAGCCACCTTTGCAATTGAGTATGATATGCAATTTCACTAGGAAAATCCACAGCCAACCTTCAGACCCAGCTTCATTTGCATTTTCCACAGCAAGTACTGCTTGATGCTGCTATCTTTGCACTGAGTTTTCTTTTTATGAAGTAAGCTCAGATGGCCACTGACAATGGAGGTAATAAGGATGATAATAACCAGAGAGGGTGATTGTTTGGGATTCTGAAGCTCCTGCTTACGTTTTATTATTATGACTTTATATTTTGTCCCAGGCAGAGAGGCATGGGATCCCAGGCATGGAAATAGCTGCGGTGGAGAAATTGGAGGGGAAGACAGTGTGAAAGTCACGGTAGAGCAGGCAGGGAGGCATTGCAATTCAGTTCTCGCTCACCCTGAAGTGCAGAGGCTGGCTGTTTGGGAGACTGTAAAGGGAAATCTGCTGGAGAAGAAAGTGAGGTGGACAGTCTTTGCTATACTTATATTAACATATGTGCACCTCACAGAATACATTTTTGAAAATGCTGGCAGACACTTTTTTTTTTTTTTTAGAATAAAAACTGGAGAGAGCAGTTTTTTCACTGCTGAAGGTTTTGAACTGTCCTATAGATTAGCTGGAAGTTACAAAGAGCCCTTCCTGAGTCAGCTGAATAGCGCTGGTGGTAACTTAATAACTCAGGAATCATTGATTCAATCCATTTAGGGAATAGAATCAATGTTTGGATTCCACCTCCTTATTTGTGGAGGGTACCCGAGGGGACTGCTGTAATTAACTATACATTGTTGTACCTGTAGAGGACCTTTTATCTCAGGAACCTGTGAACCCGGAGGAAAAAGACCTCACAGTTTGCCTTAAACAACAATAAATGGGAATCTTTCATTTGATCCATCAAAGTGTATTTTCCTACTTACCTCTGTCGAGGCAGCATGGTTGTGCAGCATGAGGCAAGGGCTGGGGATTTATCCTGCCTCCACTAATTGCTTGCTGTATGGCCGTCTGCCTGCTGTGCTGTCTATGGGCTAACTTGTGCTTCCTCCACAAATTCAGATATTGAAATTCTCGCCCCTGGTGCCCTCAGAATGGGACTGTCTTTGGAGATATGGTATTTAAAGAAGTATTATATTAAAATAAGGTTATTAGGATGGGCTCTAACCCAATATGATCGATGATCTGATAAGAAGAGAAAATTTGGACATAGGCACGTACAGAGGTGGGACAGTATGAAGAGATATGGGAAGATCTTCATCTAAAAGCCAAGAGAGAAAATAAATTCCTACTGTTTAAGCCAGTCTGTGATACTTTGTTAGAATAGCCCTCATAAACAAATGCAGTGCAATATGGAAATATTGCAGAAATCTTTTACGGGAAAGAGAAAACTAATATTTGTTGACAGTCACTGTATAATGATATAAATAAACTAAATATCTCACTTAACCGTTACAACCACCCTTAACATCATCATATTGATGAGTTAAATAGGAATTTGGAGAGATCAGATAATTTGTGTAAAACCAAAGAGCTGGGTACATTGAAACTGTTCTCTTTCACTACTAGTCCTCATCCCTTCTACTCTGTGTCACTGGCAACAGAACTACAGCAGATAACCCACGACCAACCCTTGATGTACTTCCATGTTGACTTGGACAAAAGATACATTTGCTGTACAGGATTAAGCCCTAGGAAGCTTTAATCAGGAGATCATCCAAACCTCCCCATGAACGGAACCCCCAGGAGGACAAACAACCCTGTGGATAATCCAGGGGTTCCTTTGGTTTCCACTAGATGGTGCTAGAGCCTGATTCTATGCCCTGACACAGTATGGTGCCAGGATCTCAATCCAGTATTACTTTTGGTGCTTTGACCATAACCTATTTTGGTTTAAAATTTATTTGCTATTGATGCTCATGTTTTTTATAATTGGGAAAGGGAGTTCTTAAAAGTGCCAAAGTTAGAGCGTCATCCACCATCTTGGCATAGCAGGAAAGACACACCTTGTTCACAGTGTGAGTAATGCCTTACCCAATGAGCAGAGGACACTTTTTATTTATGGAGAGGTCTTTATTACACTAACTCGTGGTTGAATGCATAGAGAACAAGGGACTTAAAATGGTTCTATTTTAGTTCCCCTAGTGATTGATTCACTCTGGGGAGAGGCATATAACTGCTCTCTGCCCTAGTTTTCCCATTTATAAAATAGAAATAAAATATGGGACACTTACTTCAAAGGGCACTCAGAAGATGAATGAGGTAGTGTCTCTTAAAATACTCTGTGGTTGTTGGAGAAATAGAGTTATATCCTCTTTGCAAATAGTACAACTTGACTTTGACCCATCAATGCTTATTTGAATCTTATAAACCCACTTGGTCACTGATTCTCCCCAAGTACGTTCACTGCTGTTTTCCTCAGTAAGATGAAAAGGCATCCACATGATAAAAACTACCATTTGGGGGAATGGATTAATAGGTGCCGTTCAATTTCTCAATGCAACAATTTGTTCTGCTCTCCAGAAGTCATTTCATCTCTATTTCTCTCCAGGCTCAAATGCTTTTCTAAGGGTAACATTGAAGTAAGGTTTCTAGATAGTCTCTTTATTCATAGTCGGAGGGGAAGGTTTCCACTGTACTTTGTTTTCAACCTATTTTCCAGAGATTTTTAGAAAGGGGTATTGGAAGGTGCATCGGGGATAAAGTGCCATGTATATGTTAGACTAAATCATATTTGGTAGGTTGAAAGTATCCTATAGACTGAATGTGTCTCCCCAAAATCCATATGTTGAAGCCTTCACCTCCAGTATGACTATATTTGGAGAGAGGGCCTATAAGAAGGTAATTGAGGTTCAATGAGGCACAGGCATATTTTGGCCATAGTCAGTTGAAGAGCCTCAGAATAAAGCAAAGATCACAGTGAAGTGAGTGGTATTTGTTTTGCTGGAAGAGATTCTTGCCTTCAATTTGTAAAATAGGCAATGTCTGTGAAGCTCAATAAATCAAAGAACAATAAAATGAGGTATGCCTGTAACAAGGTGAGGCCGTAGAATAGGATTAGTGTCCCGAAAGAAGATTCCCAGAGAGGTGTGCTCACTTTATTCCTCCTCCCAACCTAATCCGCCCCCCCCCCCAATACCTCACATGTAAGCACTGTGAGATGGCAGCCTCTTATAAGTCAGGAAGAAAGCCCTCACCAGAAACCAGCCATGCTGGCACCCAGACTACCAGCCTCTAGACTGCGAGAAAATAAATGTCTATTGTTCAAGACACTCAGAGGGTGATATTTGTTATGGCAACCCAATCTGACTAAGACAAAATACTTACCTCATCGCTGTAAGATAGGTGTGGGTACACTTCTGCCATACATAGGACTATGTAGTAAATATTCTAGGATTTGTAGTTCCTAGGGTCTTTTGCACAAAAGCAGCCATAGCAGTCTGGAAAAAAAGTGAATGAGGTTGTGTTCCAATAAAACTTTTTTTTTTAAAAAAAAAACAGACCTCAGGCCCTATTTGTCACAGGCCACAGTTTGCTGGCCCTTACTCTAAGAAGACACAAAAATAACTTAAAGTTGGATAAATTCCAATTTTTTCTCAAAGGCAGATTCCCATTATCACTAAACAAACACATTATAGTGACAATTAGCTATTGTTTCCACTTTTTTTTAATTAAATCTTTATTGTTCAGATTATTACATTTGTTCCTCTTTTTCCCCCCCATAACTCCCCTCCTCCCAGTTCCCACCCCACCCTCCGCCCTCACTCCCCACCCACTGTCCTCATCCATAGGTGCACGATTTTTGTCCAGTCTCTTCCCGCATCTCCCACACCCCTTTCCCCCCCCAAGAATAGTCAGTCCATTCCCTTTCTATGTCCCTGATTCTATTATAATCACCAGTTCATTCTGTACATCAGATTATATATTCACTTGATTCTTAGATTCACTTGTTGATAGATACATATTTGTTGTTCATAATTTGTATCTTTACCTTTTTCTTATTCTTCCTCTTCTTAAAGGATACCTTTCAGCATTTCATATAATCCTGGTTTGGTGATGAACTCCTTTAGCTTTTCCTTATCTGTGAAGCTCTTTATCTGACCTTCAGTTCTGAATGATAGCTTTGCTGGATAAAGTAATCTTGGTTGTAGGTTCTTGGCATTCATCACTTTGAATATTTCTTGCCACTCCCTTCTGGCCTGCAAAGTTTCGGTTGAGAAATCAGCTGACAGTCGTATGGGTACTCCCATGTAGGTAACTGAGTTTCTTTCTCCTGCTGCTCTTAAGAGTCTCTCTTTGTCTTTTGCTCTTGGCATTTTAATTATGATGTGTCTTGGTATGGTCCTCTTTGGATTCCTTTTGTTTGGGGTTCTCTGCGCTTCCTAGACCTGTAAGTCTACTTCTTTCACCAGGTGGGGGAAGTTTTCTGTCATTATTTCTTCAAATAGGTTTTCAATATCTTGCTCTCTCTCATCTTCTGGCACCCCTATATAATTCTGATGTTGGTACGCTTGAAGCTGTCCCAGAGGCTCCTAACACTATCTTCGTATTTTCAGGTTCTTTTTTCATTTTGCTTTTCCAGTTGGGTGTTTTTTGCTTCTTCGTATTTCAAATCTTTGACTTGATTCTTGCGCTCCTCTGGTCTGCTGTTGGGTGTCTGTATAATATTCTTTATTTCAGTCAGTGTATGCTTAATTTCTAGTTGGTCCTTTATCACAACATCGAGGATCTCATTAGATTTCTTGTAGATCTCATTAAGTTTATCGGCAGTTTCTAGAAAATTATTGAAAGACCTTAAAAGTGCGGTTTTGAGCTCTATATCCTCCATTTCTGTCATGTTTCTTTGTCTCCGCATTTTTTATGCTTTCTTGGTTCACCCCCTTGTGGTCTTTGTGCGCAGTCTTGTTGTAGTTAAGCCTTGATTGTTGTCGGTAATACTGGGGGTGATTTGACCTCCAGGCCAACTGGCTATGAGAATCAGCTGTGTCTGCAATGGGAGAACTTCTGTGCTGGATCTCTAGGGCGGTGCTAATCTAGCCTTTGCCTGAGGCTATCCCGCAAATGCCTCTGTGAAGGGCTTGGCCGGGGCGGGTCCCCAGGGATCTACAGGGCTGGCGGAGCGAGCAGTTATGGCTGCTCTCAGTCCCGTCCCCAGGTGCTCTGCCTCTCAGAGTCCCAGCAACTGCTGCAAACCTTGGAGAGAAAGCTGCCTTCGAGTTCCGACCGAAGCCAGACAGTCCCGTTTGAGTCTGGGTCCCTAGAGACTCACCCGGATCTGGAGCTCAGAGTCTGAGACTCCCTCCCGATTGAAACAGACAACCGTGCCCTCAGCTGCCAGCCCGCTCTGCATGCACTCCGCACCTTAGTATTTTACTTCAGCACTGCGCCTCCTCTGAGTCTCGGTATGCTTTTCTTTTTCCTCCTAGTTGTAGAACTTCCACTCAGCCAGCCTTCCTGTGGTTCTGGATGATGTCAGTTCCGTCTTTTAGTTGTATTTTTGAAGTGGTTGTTCGAGGCAGCAAACTCCGGCGTTAACCTATGCCACCATCTTGGTTCCTCCTCTAGGCTCTCTTTTTGACTTTTGTGTTTCCACTTTTTAAAAGATTCCCATTAGTATTAAAATAGCTAGCTACATGGGCGAATGCTTATTTCTATGGCTAAACCACAATAACTCTGAATCTCCTAATTTTTCATTTCTCGTAATCCAATAAAAATAATCTCTTTAGTGTTTTATTTTGTTTTCCCTGTATGAAACATTCAGACAGAGTTTATTTATGGTCAAAAATGGAAGTAGCCTGTCTTTCTCTGTTAATCTTAGCAAATTTATTATCAAGACCTTTGGTGTCTTCTCCTGTACATTTTCTGACAGTCACCCCCTCCCCACCCCCACCCTCCCGCTTTCCATGCTGCCAGGCCCTTAGTTAGGTTTCTCCTTTTCCTAGCCATGGCCTATAATTGTTTGAAAATGTCACCTCATTTGGCCTCCAAGGCTCTGCTGTGGCTGCCAAAGTTTTCTGCTTGATTCCACCACCACCATTTACAGCATGCTTATTATGACCCAGGCAATAGGCCAACTATTTTCCAAATATAATCTCATTTAATTGTTATAACATTCCTATAAATAGGTATTATTATGTCCATTGGGTAAGTGAAGACACTGAGGTACAGAGTAGTCCAGCAAAGGCCCCACAATTGAATAATCAACAGTGGAACTTGGTTTTGAACCCAAGATTGTCAGAATCCAGAACCTGCATTTTCAGTCCCTCCTCCTTGTTGGCTGTCTGTAGTGCATATGCTTGGGAAATGCTCGTTCTTTTCCCTTATGCCCTCATAGTAGCAAAAAAATGCAATCTATATTTACCTCCCAACCCTCCAAAAAAGCTGTGAGCACTGGAGATGGGATTTATTATATACCTCATCTTCACGAAGAGAATCTGGGTATTTTGTTTTTGTGAATTTTACAATCTAATTTTTTTTTTTTAAAAGATAGATTTTTTTGAAAGATCCATGCATGTACCATTTTAGTGCATTGTTCTCTACAAGGTTAAATATGAGTCAGTCAACTCTGCGTCAATATGCTTTTCCTATGTCTTTTCTTAAGACTATTGACTTGTAGAAAATAGGGATGACTTAGTTTTTCTTACCTATAAGGGAACACACTACCATATGGGAAAATGGGCTTCATGGGCTTCTGTGTTAGGCAGAATTTGTGTTAGCCTTTTATTTGCTTCACAAATTCCATGATCTCTTGACGCTTTAATTTCTATCTTTATCTATTAAATGAATTAGTAATATACCACTACCAGGGTGATTGAGGTTAGACTGTAAAGTACATAGCCTAGTATCTGGCACATAATAAGCTCATAATAAATATTACACTGCTGATGGCATTGAACATGTGACAGTTATATTTAGAAAGGGTATAACATTGATGAGTTGATAATAGATTATTATTGTATTTCACAAGATGAAAGCTGGAACCGTATGTATGTGTTTTTGACATTAAGTATTGTGTGTTTAGGGAAAATGTGGTTTTCTCATTTGGAATAAAAATGACCTTGTGGAAGTCCTTGATATGACAGGAAGCCTTTTCAGAACAGTTAGCTGTTAAAGGAAAAAAGTGAGACACATGGCTTAGATTTATCTTTGAAATACACAATTTAACTTTTAAATGAAGGGGGAAAATGCTTGGGGGGAAATGTATTTTTGGTTATTTGAAGAGTAAATGCCATAAACTCCTAGTCTTTCCCATATGCACTTAATATATACTTGGGTTAACAGATCAGGGCAGAGGTGCACAAATTTCATTGTATCTATTATTTAAGCCATCATGTTGGGTCAGCAGAGTTGCTGACCTCCAGGCAGTCCTCTGCGACAAGATGAGGTGGATACAACCCAGAATTTCTTGCCTAAACTGCACCTTATGTATCAACCGATTAGGAGAAATTAAATGTGACTCTCATTCCTTATTTGCTTTGTAGATGACCTAAGGAAAAATAAAAATATGAGGCAGTTTCCTCTCCTCCCTCCAATCTCTGTTGGCTTTATCTGTCATTAATTAGTGTTTGCTCATGGAATACTAAGCAATTTTGATATTTATTGGGACTATGCATGGTTAAGCAAGCAAATCAAGAAAAAACAGCCTTAGACTGCATTTTGAGACAAATATATAATTTAGGATTTATCAGACATTCGGGCACTCCTATCCCAGCAGAGCACGTGACTACTGCTCAGTCAAGGCCTCAGGTACAGGTTTCTGTGAACAGGGTTAGGAGCTGACTGCTGCACAATGGAGAATAGGAGTGACAAGAAGGAGCAAGTCACCTAGGCTATTGGTTCCCTGGGATAGGGTTATCAGATTTAGCAAAAAACAATAACCACAAATAAACAAATAATAAAAGCAGGATGCCCAGTCAAAGAGAATATCAGATAAACATGAATAACTTTTTAGCATAAGTATCTTCCAAATACTGAATGGGACATATTCCGCTAAATAACAACACAGTCAGAACTTTGAATTGAACTGGGCCTCCTGCATTTTATCTAGCAACACTACCCTGGGAATATGACAAAGGCAGATGTGAAGGCAGAGCCCTGGGTCCAAGGCAGACACATTGAGGAGCAAGCAGAAACTGACACAATGAACTGGGGTAAGAAGACCTTGAAAATTAGGAGACTCCTGTTTCATAATAGGGAAGGTATTCGATCTCCTGGTTATACCAAGAACCAGGAATTTTGGTTCTTTAGGGTGTGCCCTCCTCAGGCCAGTGTATCTCAGTGGTTAGAATGTTGACCCTTGCACGGAATGGTCTCAGGTTTGATCCCTGCTCAAGTGCACGAATCTGGATTGCAGTATACTCCCTGCCTCTGGTTGGGGCAGGAGGCAACCAGTCAATGTGTCTCTCTTACATTGATATTTCTCTCTATTTTGTTCTCTCTCTCTCCCTCCCTCCATTCCACTCTCTCTGAAAAGCAAAAGAAAAAATATCCTCAGGTGAGGATTAAAAAAAAAAAAAAAAGATCCTCCATATCACCACAGGAAGAAACACTGGGCAGATCCTTAGGATTAAACAGATTGCAGTGGGAAATGCCCTGGCCTGTGAAATGGTAGATCTGTGATCGAGCCTTGCTTCTGCCACTTATTAGGAGCATAACTAGTCAAATGCACCAATCTCTATAAATTCTAGGATCCTTGTACCTAAAGTGGAGTGGCGCTGATCTGGATCACTCATTCTTAAATGTGTTACTGGCTGAGAATCTACAATTCATCAGAATCCCTCTTCCTTTTATGTCTTCCATTTTTTTTCCTCTCTACTTCTTTCTCATTAGTACCCAAGCCTCATTTAGCTTATTGAGCTACCTAAATAATTAACTAAATAAGTGTCTTTAACCTTATGTCCTCTGTTCCTCCACCACTGATACGTCTTTTTCCTTCTTCTCAGAGCCAAATATCTTGAAAAAATAATCCCCACTGGTTGTGTCTCTTTGTCCTCTCCACTTTTCCACCCACTGTGGTCTGGTTAAGATTACTAACAACCTCTTAACTACTCAA